TAAATATCAAACAGGCCAATGGATGTTCTTCTTACTGTTCATGCATCTAATTGAAGGGCTCCTCTTATCAACGGTCGTTTTTGTCTTAGGATTGCTTGTCGTAGGTCAATCGTCAGATTTTGGCAGTGTATTGGTAAACTGCGCTGATTTCCTTAATGGTACCGTGATCGTATAATCGGGCGTTTTTTTCTACGATCGTTGAGAAATAGTCGTAGATCAAATAAAATGACCGCCATGCTTCTTGAAACTGATGTAAGGCTGAAAATAGCCGAGCTTTCTGGCTTCAAATGTACTTATCCGAGTGCCTGAGTGGTCATAAAGTTGTGGCCGAGAATCAGCTTGATGAAGCAGATCTTGTAGACTTGGAAATTATTTGTCGACAAGGCCTGTGATTTTTAGACAGTCCGTCGTGCTCGAGTGTTATCAAGATTGTTCTATTTTTAGATCATGTAAACTAGATTTTCAGCTGAGATGATTCAGGTTCGAACTCGAAATTTGGTCAATTACAATAATTTTTAATTAACATCCTGAAAAAGTTTGATGACAATTAAGGCAGTAATCATTTTTACTACTTTTACGACCTATTTTCAGGATATTTAAACCAACACATTAGCCTCTAGCGTATTAACAATGTGTTTTGATATTTGGCCTGTGTGATCTAATTTTTGCCTCCAGATGACCCATTCTCAAACTTGAGCTAGAAATCTTCAAAACAACCTCTCTGACAAATTTGACAAAAACATTTCCTCAAATGTGAACGAATGAACGAACACATATTTGTTAACAAATAACGCCAATGGCGTTGTAACTATGGTATTATGTTTTATTTTCGAAAGGAAAGGTCAGAGAACGCTGATAAGGTCTAAAAATACTAATATCGTAACTTAAAATTGTATGCCTATTTTCATTAAATAAAAAGTAACATTTCTATCCAACTGTATACAAAACAAATATTGTTTTTCTTTTTGCCTATGATTCAGTAATTAATTATGTCATGTATTATGAATTTCTTAATAGTAATATATATGGATAGAAAAATAAACCAACAACACTTGAATAAAAAATAATTGTTTTTAGAAAGATTGGAGATCTGTAAAATTACTTATACCGGTCCCTTATGTGTGACTTTTCATACAAGTTTACAACGCTTGCTTAGATTGCCCGACATAATAGCATTTTGCATTTATTACAAGTAATAAGGTACACCATTTTTAGTTTGACAGTTTGTAATGTAATGTAACTCATTCTTTTATTTGTTATGTTACTGGTAATGCGCGAGCAATAGGAACAGCGAGTGTTGGTACAAATTTTGGAAATATGTTTTTACGACTACATACTGAATAATCGGACTGACTAAGAACCATATAACTGCTATGCAAGTTTTATGCAACAACTGGTTTATTATAACTGTGCTAATATCTTAGTGATAGAAAATTTCAAAATAAAATATCGCATTGTTTATTAATGTAATAAAGAGGAGTTACACAGAACTGTTAAAGGCAAATACTTTTACGGTTTGTAACTGTGGGTTCAACAACCTCGCTTTGTGACATTGCAAAACCTTTTCAAATGCACTGGTTTTTTTACAGTTTCTGGAGAAATTATGTCTATTCCCGTAGTAAAGAGGGTGAAAAGTCTCATAATCAAAAATTGTTATTTTTACAGTAGGAAATCTATTTAGTGTGTGAGTTGTTTTGCAAAATAACGTACATGTTGCGTGTTTTCATTTTTAATAAAATTATCCAACAGTAGTGCTGAGCAAAATGATTAATCAAAATTAAAAAACATGAAAACTGAATTTGAGGTATGTAACGGATATGATCTATGAAGATTTTTTCTTTCTTGTAGTATCAGTAAAAAAAGTCAATATTTCTTTTCATTACTATTCAGATAACCCCTTCAACCTACATCTTACGCTATAATGGCGAAGAAAGCGTAACGCAAATTCTTGAAACAGATGAGACTTTATCGGAACAGGTAGATTGTTTTCGTATTGATCTTTGTTATTATTTTTCATGTAAGAATATGTTTCAAGCAGCAGAGGGAACAGGTGTCCTTTTATTTAATATTTTCAAAGCGTATTTCATCGTGTTTCATTTAAAAGAGTAAATCAAATATGTATGTTGTCACAATAGATACACAAAATGAACATTTTATATCAATACCTGCATATATTAGAAACTGAACCGGTTAAGATACTATATGGAACGATACAACTTGGAGGGGACGCTATAAACGTTTATGAAGAATCATTTAACTTGGTAAGATTTGAAATTATTGTGAAATGCATTTGAACATAAAAACTTGCAAACAAGATTAACTTCCACGAAAGTTGTTGTGTTTCTCTTCGTAAAGATGGCTACTTGAATGAGGTTTAGGAACATGTCCGTTAAGTCATTAAAACACTGTTTAATTTCATTTTTTGACTAAGTAGCGGTTCTTTTCTATGAATGTATGAGGCCCTTGGAAAAAATTTTAGTATTTTTTAACAAAGGCAAAGAAAGGACATTTGAACTACCAGTAAGATTTTCTGAAACTTTGTATGATTAAAGATAATTATTATTGAAACAATTTGATGACTAACTAACTAACTAACTAACTAACTAACTAACTAACTAACTAACTAACTAACTAACTAACTTACTAACTACATGAACTAACTAACTAACTCACTCACTCACTCACTAACTTAGTTATTTACTTGACTGACTGACTGACTGACTGACCGACCGACCGACCCAATCCAACCAACCACCAAGCCGGCCAAACTCACTCACTCACTCACTCATTCACTCACTAACTCACTCACTCACTCACTCACTCACTCACTTACTCATACTGCACCAAGAAGCACGTCATTCTATTTCATAAACATTATATGAATATTCAGAAGAGACCCGGCATCATTTGTTTGATATGTGATCGATGTAGAAAAATAAATGAGAGTTTTGTCTATAGCCAGATGCTACAAACAGCAACTACTATGGTATGGGTGTTGAAGATGTATGGGCAATTGGTTACACTGGCAAAAGTGTCGTCTTAGGTGTCGTAGGAGTGGGAATAGATACACATTTACTCGATTTGAAAGAAAACATCGTAAGATAGTTCGTTGACATTCTAATTATATATATTGACCACACTTGTTACAAACTCATACATATTTCATGTAACAGTTTGGATTTTATAAAATAAATCTTTGATAATTCACATGGCACTAAGTCAATAAATTTGAAGGTTTTATGATGTTTTTAATGTAAGTTTAAATGTATTTATGTAAAGGTATGAAACGTTATATAAGACCCTTTCCACGTGTTTCGAATCCATTATCATAAAATTATTTACGTTCTCTTTCAGAAAGAAGACTGGAGCTTTAATTTTGTTCAAAATAATACCAATGTAGCTCCTGCACACTTTAAGGACTATCCAGAAACTTTGCCTGCAACTAAGTATGTTTTGGTTAATATAATGAGAAATATCTCTGTAATATTTAATCCCCAAAAAATCGCCCCTTGACTAATCATGAAAATGAAAGTGTTAACTTGTGATCCAATATGTACATAATTATTTACTTAATTTCTGATAAAAAAAATTCAAGTTAAAATTAAATGTCATTTATACAATCAATTATACGATTAAAGATGTAGGAAAATCAACAATAAAATTGGTGCAATGGTAATTGCAGTGGTTCAGTTGGACTTTTGAAACTTAAAACACCTTAAAATTTTATATCATGAGGACAAATCATAGTTTAGTTTTCATATTTCCATATGTGAATCTTAAAAACGCAAAATAAAATAATAATGCATAATATATAGATTGGAAAAAAACTTGAATTGCCCCCCCCCCCCCCCCCCCCCACAAAAAAAACCCCAAAAAACAACAAAATCAATCAAAAGACACTGTTTATAGGTTGTTCAAAATATAAAGAAAAGGCACCGAGGTTGTCAGAAACCAAATAATGCAATTACTTTTGGAAGCGTTGCTGATGAAACCAATTTGTAGACAATGACGCTCCATGTATACTGTTTGTGGAGTAGCTTATGTTCTAGGCTTATCAACAGGGACAGGTCTGCTTCTGTATCTGCTAACTGTCATTTAGAAATGAAATTGATTTAAGTGTGCCATTGTTACATTGAAAACATAATTTCCAGGAGATTGAATGATTTAATTACGGGAGACAAAGCACGTACTTACTACTTTGAGCCATAGAGACGCATGACAAATAAACAATGGCTTCGTAAGAAATAGATAAAATCGACAATAGATAAAAAAGACCAGGAGGGAGTTTACGATATATTCTTTGATTGTCAATGCTCTGTTCTATAAACTCAAATTCCAGATTACAAAACTTTTGCTGGAAAGTTTGAAATGATATTATTCATTTTAAGCACTTAATAAAAGTTGTCACTCTTGAATGGGTTTACGCGGGCTCTGTCATGTACATCACAGTGCATTTTCCAATTAATGTGCCTCAATCAGTTTCTGAATGCTGAAAAATTGATACAAGGAAGACACTGTCCCTATTCTCCTGATCTGTTTGACTTTTTGTTGTTCTATGAAGTGATAGAGCAACGTCGTTTGAAGTTAGAAATGTACCACTGTCGTTTCTGTTCACCAAAGATTATTCTGAGGCATTTACGAGGCGGAACAAAAGAACGAAGAAACTGTTTTGAATGTGTGCGCATAAACATTCTACTTACAAAATCTATTAAAGTTTTAATCATATCAACTTGTTTCTAAGATTATGCCTGTTTTTTATTCACTGAACGTTGCTTAGAATTGATAGATCCCTACACTGTCTTTTAATTTGAATAACAATAGATTTAACCACAAACATTTATATGTGCTCTTTTGTTAACAGATATGTTATGGTGAAATTGTTATTTTATCCACTAATCTAATTATTTGAATTAGACAGGTCAGTGATCTATTCAATAGGGGAAAGAAAAGAAAATGGTAGCATAAGTTACATGTTTAATATATACAAATTTTATTCTAAAGACTGTTTTATAAAAAGGTGCAACCAAATGAGATCTATTCCTGTTTGCAATAAAAAAAATTTTGCTATCAAGAATTCTTCCTGATTTAAGTGTGCTTTAATTATGAAAAAATGTATTTTGAGGATAAAATTCTAGCAGATGGTACCTCGGCTTAAACAGAAAGACATGCATACTTATACTTAGTTTTCGTAAGAGATTCGTTTTGCATTCTGCTATCATATTTAACTTTCTTCTTCAGTCATGGAAATAATGTCGCCAGTATTATTGCTGCTGTGAAAAACAATCATGTTTGTAGCGCGGGGATAGCTTTTCATTCACAAATTGCTGGTATGAGTATTACATTGGTTCCATGAATTAAAACAAAAAAATAAGTTATTGGTGAACTGAAAACTGAACGTTTAAACAATTTAAATATGCGACGTTCATAGTAAAGAGGCTTATTTGTCAGGAGATACAAGGATATTTTTATGAAAAAATAATATAATCTATTTTTTACAATATTCTTATACATAATTCATCCAGTTTTGAAATCGCCAAATTGAATGCCAACTATACATGTCATGTATAAATGTAATAAATGTTTAGTTCTTATTGAACTTATTTTAGTTCGATTGTGTTGGAAGTGAAAGGTAATTTATATGCAAACTTTCAAATCCGTTTCTGAAATAAACCAGCACTGAGCAAGGGAGTAAAGTTTGCTGCTAAAGAAACAAACGACTTACTTCTGTCAGAGTTTAAACCCACGCGACTTAGATTTAGATGCGTTAACCAGTCAGTTATGATGCCACATGTTTTGAGGAATATATATAATGAAACAATATAACAATGAATACAAAGCCACGGATGTAGCAAGCTTACTTTCCGTCCTGATAAATTATTAGTTTGTTTTAATTTGATATATTCTAATAATGAGCTAAAATTATTTCAATTGTTTCAGTTTTGAAAGTGTTTGAATTTAGTTATAATGATCGTTTAAAACTAAGTCCATACCCCTGGACAGCGTCTGATGTTTTATCTAGAGCACTCGTCTATAAACTACATGATATTGAAATATTAGTGTTGGCATGGACATTCAAGAAAACATTTGATAGATTAGACTTAGCAACAAGGGAAGCAATTATTGGAGGAGTTAAAGAAGTAAGTATTAACAAGATAGGTAAGAAATGTTTTATCTCTTATTTTAAACTGATCGGTGAATAAGTAATTAAGAGACGAATATTGAGAAACTTGCTAACAAAAGAAAATCACAATCAAAAGTGTCGTTACTTGAATTTGTTGGTTTGAACAGTTGAATTTAAAATATGTCGGAGAAATAAAAAAAAATAAATGCATTTTGTGTAGTTTACGTATATATAAGCCACATTGTAAACTATAAGGTATAATGATAAACTGGTGGATAATATATTTGGGTTATTACTATTTTGATTGAAATAATTTGCTATTTCTATATCTATTATTGAAGTATTCTATTCATAATATTTGCATAAAAACCATCATGCATCCAAGATATTTACATCAAAGTGTACAAAAAGATAATAACTATTACAATTTTGACGTACTATTCATAGTGTTTTCTTACAGAAACATGTCCAGTAACTGTTTAATTATTGATTCTTCTTCTATTAATCATTCATGACTAATAATAAAACTCTTGCGAGATTCTAATTAAATAACTGACTTGAAATCATTTAGTATTTATAGTTCTATACATTCTTATAGTGTCTTCATTATAAGCCTTCTTATAAGATTAAAACAGGTATGGATCAATTGTAAATGAGGGATTCATTACTAGATTATGACCAAACAACCTAAAGAACCGAGTTTTCAACTGCCGAATAGATATAAACAATTGTTTTTTAAGCAATATGTCATTGCTTGTATGTCAAATATTCCTCATATATCCAATAAAGGTTCATAACAAGAATAATACTTAACAAATAATTATACTTACTGAGTGTGTTCAATGTTCACTACATACGTGGTATTTGCTTTAAAAACGACGCAAGTTTTGCACTGATGTCGATCAAAATATAATGAAGAACGGAATGTTTAATATGCTCTGAAGTATTCTTTTATCATCAAAATGTTTAATTTGTTTCATCTACATGTCTGCGTATCTTTAACAAAGGGTAGAAATGGCAGAGGCAGAATATACGTTGTGGCGGCGGGACCAATTGGCAATGAGTTAACAAACAATATCAATACAATTACGGTAAATGGCATGTGTACAAATGGCTCCATTTCAACAAAGACGTACCGTGATACTAGCGTCCTTACGTCAGGACTTTTTGTCGGTAACAGTCTCGCGTCGTCGTACATGGTAATTTTATCAACATGATATACTTTAACATAGTTCGTCTGCTTACGCCACTTAAAGCTTGGTTAAATATCCTAGTCCAATTTCTTGTAGCTTGTTACAATGAAGTAGTCAGTGTTACAACAATGGAGTAATCAATATATAGCTTCTACATGTATTACTCAAAAATCTTTTCAGTTTTATGGCATTACGGTTCATACATTTAAAACACATTAAAGTGAATGAGACATTTTTTAAATTAATGTATGAATACAATTAATTACGGTTTTCTAGCGTCATACTTTGCTTGGAATAACATGTGTTTAAGTGGTTCCCATTTAATGATATTTAAATAATATCACCTGTTTATTTATGTGTGTAATTTGATGACAGAGCTTATATTTAAGTGGCATTATGCTCATTTGTTATTGTCAAGTTGGGCTGAATTGACTATATATTTCATAAAAATGACCGTTGTAATGGTGGTTGACCAACTGTTGATAATGGAAAATGTTAAATATAAAATATAAATATGTCTTACATATAAAAGATTGCCACACACTTTTTATAAATTAAAAAGTTACCATTAAATTTCAAATGCATATTTAAAGAAATTTTAGTTTTAATAGTTCTTGGTAACTAAATTATAAAAACTTAAAGACATTTATGGTAGAATAACAATCTAATTTGATTTTCACCTGTTTACTCATCATATATATCCTTGGATTGCGATTGGCATACTGCCACTTTAAGTGATACCAGAACATAATATAACATAAATTATAAACATTGCCATGGTGAAAGCATTATTTTCTTACTATTTAAGTTTACTACTACAATCTACGAGGAATGCAGTATCGGGTTTAGTGGTGTATCTGCAGCCACTTCACAAGTTGCCGCAATCATAGCATTAGCCCTTCAAACAAAGTATGTCTTTAATCGTTAGATATTAATTAATGTACTGTATCAAGCTGTATCATTTTGCAAGTGTTTCGAGCCCTCGTGACTTTTGGACAGGGCGAAGTGATATTTCTTATTGTTTTCGTTTGGTTTTAAGACGCACCAATGCAAGTCATGTCATATGACACAAAAACTAGAAAGATGATTGTAGCTTATCTCGGGCGTTACAAAGTTAAAGCAAAACAAGGGACAAAACCACCTCACCTGCGACTGAGAGACTCCAGTTATTTGAACAAATTTAGTCGCCTCTTACAATCACGCAGGGAGAAAAGGTGGCTGCAATGCCTCAACAATAAAAGGCAACCCCTTAGCCACAAGGGGCATGAAAGGTCTAAAAATACCACAGATTCTGGTAAACATTTCGTCAATGTCCTTTTTTATACTGAGTTGATTGTCTAACGATGAAATGAATAAATCCTTAAATAGAAAGCACTGTCATTGGCTGTAACGAACCTTGTCTTGAGTTTTCCTGATATGAACAACTGATTCCGTTGGTTAATCAGTGCTTTATTTCAAAACTCTTCAACGTTTGCGTCTGACTTCAAATAAGAGTTGTAACTGCGAAAGGAAGTGTTTTCTGTGTAGGGGTCTATGCACTTTATTAGACGGAAAACCAACAAAATATCGAATAAGCCGGTATAAATCGGTGCTATAATAGTATTTCCCATCCAGCAGTTTGTCAAATAATCAAACTTGTTTGCCAAAATGGTTAGTGTCGAGAGGTTTGTATTGAGATTTATTTGTTTTGTTTTCTTCAAATCGTTGTCACGTTTTAAAAACGAAAATGTATCTTCACGCGTGTATATGACATGATAAGCCATTTACACAAATAAACTGCAATGTCTTTTATCTTTTATATTTAAGTCCGAATTTATCTACACGTAGTATCCAGCATCTACTAGTTAGATCAAGCCAAGCTAATGGTCTAGAGGAGTCGCATAATTTCAAGCCCAACGGAGCAGGAAGACGTTGTACGTATGCGTTTCTAGATAACATTGTAAAACTTTATCACACGAATTGCAAGGTTTGTCTTGACGTGATTCAAATTAAACATTTTTACTCTTTTCATAAATTTTCATGGGAAATAATTATTCTTATCAAAAGCTTAACAGTTTGTCGTACTCCATTCTCTGTTAAAACTGTTACACAAATGTCAAGGGCTTAGTCAGTTTTTGGTTGTATTTTCTTTTTGCTTTTTAGATCATCCATATTTCGGTTTCGGACTATTGAATGCAACAAAGATGGTAGAACTAGCTATGAAACAAGATCACCCATCTTATCTGTTATCTAAAAAATTCGAGTTGGCTGAAAGGTAAATGTTCTTTCTAGGAGAGGGGCGATTATAGGCCTACTGTCAGTCAAATAATGTATTGGTTCATTAACAAATTAAAGTACTTACGTTTTAGTCGTGATGATTATCTTTTTAAGCCTATATTTTATATCCAGAGAACTTCAAATCACTCAAACTTTTCTTTTTTCAATTCAGATCATTCAAAAGTACATTCAAAGAAAGATTTTACTACTTTTGTAACAGAAAAAACGACTTTACATGCATTGAAGCAGTTGAACATGTTGCTGTAACATTGGACATAATGACGAATGCAAAGCACTTAAGTTTAAGCGTGACCTCACCATCGGAAACAATTTCTTTATTTTTAGAAAACTTTGAAGTAAGTTTATTACATGCTCATGTTTTATGTTATGTTGTTATGTTATGTGTTGTTATATTTTTCTTGTCCTTCGGGTTCATTGATGCGAGCTCTATTAAGTGTTGAGAATTGAGTACCGCTCAAGCCTGCGCTAGAGAGCATGAGGGATGTTGCACGTATTCATTATCCCTTATGTACAGACTCAATCAAACCGAGTCTGCAATTCTATTGTAATTTTGTTATGATTATGCTTCCGAGGGATCACGTTGCTTCCAGATTTTTATTTGATTTTATTTTAAATAGAAAGAAGTCATTTTCTGCAGATTAAGTACATGTATATTAAATAAACCTCTTTCTGTGTCAGGTAGAAAATGGAACAGTATCGGGAAAGTTGGTCACTGCAAATTTCTGGGATGAAGCAGCTTGTGGTGAATGGACATTCAAAATTGTCATGCGTGATCCATTTTTAGGTATTAAAATATTTAATTCTTATTCTTTCAGTCATAATTGAAAACAATTACACTCTTTGTCACCCCTGAAAAAACATTATTCCGGATTGGCATCTCAATCAATATAAACCTACAATTTCTTACAATGAATGACTTGTATTGTTAGTTCAATGATAACATTGGTATAAAAAGTATTTAAGCATTGACGACCTTGATTGTTACACATTTTGTAGAAAATGATTTAAATTAAATCTTATAATTGTATTATAAAAGTCCTTTCCAATAATTATGATGTTGTTACTTATCATTCTTTTTTTTAACCATGTAATGTCAAAAATGGCTCTTGCTTTAATTGTCTTTAAACATATGTTTACATTGGAAAGTCAATGTAAGGTGAAATGAGACTTTGACGACCAACAATCCTAAAGCTCAACAATGTTTTGTATTAACTTATTTGGCATATTCAATTTTTCAAATATATTCAATATATATTGATTTTAGCCTCAACCTTATCACAAGCACCGTTTCCTAGTTGTTCACGTGATTGATTTTTCTCTTTAACTTTGGTCACGCATGGAAGTTTTAAATATGATTACTTGGTTTTGGTATGTTGGTTTGACAGTTATAGCATTTACAACAATGTGTGAAAAAATATATGTTCATATAGCTAAAACTTTCCGAAACAATGCACTTTAAGGGGTAACTTATTAGCAATTTGGTAAAGGATAGTCGAAAATCACAGACTAATTTTAATAAAACATTATTGAAAGTTAATCAGGTCTAACACCATACGCTCTTGCCATTGATGATTCAAAAGGACCAGACGAATATAAAACAACGACATAACTTTGTTTCTTAACAGTAACTTTTAAATTTTGGATAAGGGAAGATATCAACAATGTAAACTAAAGAAAGAAGCTTAAACGAATTCAAAGTATAACACATTATGAAGTAACTGTAAATATTATGTTACTATCAAACAACAAGTATAGCAACAAACATAAACGGCAAGGGAGCGCACATACGGCAAATAAATAATGAATAATGTAAGGAAAAACGTTCGGTCTTTATATATACGCCACATGCCAACTGGTTCACATTTCCAAACTGCCATCTTCTGATTAAATCCTTTATCATATTGTCCCCAAGTAAAAAAAAGTTTTTTAAAACCTTGTCATTTGTTACGTAAAACCATAGCTCGACTTAACAAATAAACAAATTAGGTAAAGCTAATTCCAAATCGGCTGTACGTCTGTTATTCTATCACAGACTAGTCTTGCACTGAAGTACAACGTTAATAAAATGACGGAAAAATGACCGTTTCAAAAATGAGAAAAACGCATCCAAATTGCTGTTTTATATGTATGTATTTGTGCTTTTCTAAAAATGTTAAGACAACTGAAGCATTGAAACAAAACAATTCAATGACTAAGCCTTCATTTTTTTTTCATGCACCTTTTCATAGCCGCAATGTAAGTTTGCAAATGCCATGTACCTTTGCTTGACAGTAGGTCAAAGCCGCCTATGTTATTTATTTCAAGGCTTGTACCCACAACAACTTAAACTGGAAAAAAATTGTAAGGTAATAAAGCGATTTGTAAACAAACATAATTTTGTTATATCGTGTTAACTTATGGATACGTTTTTAACTGTAGGTAATATGAAGACAGACATGAAAACGTTTTCTCTGGAACTGTATGGAACAAACAAAAAAGAACATTATTCAGATAACGGAAATTCTTATGACTCGATGAAAAACAAAAACTACAAAAATGAAGCGGAATTACAGCAGAATCATCCTGACTATAAGCCCTTAATAACTACCTTTGCAGTAATAGCTTTTGTTCTCTTAGTGACGTTCAAATGTCGGTGACATAGCCGTCTTAACTCGGTATACTGGCGTTTAATGTTCTCTCAGAGGTTAAAAAAGTAGAAAATAAAGTGCGAAAAATTATATAAAAAAAAAACCAAGTGCTCTCAGGGGCTCGAGGAAATGTATGCAACGAAAATTTCCTCACGAAAAACACAATATTTTTTTTATAAAAATAGATGTTCTATATTTTATTTTTGTAATAAACTCACCTCATACATGTATGAAGCTGGAATACGAGTACTTTCCGTAAAAGTTTATGTGCAGTTTTCTACTGGAGTCAATGTTCGGCGTAATTTGTTGTTCAGTGCCTAATTGTAAAACAGTTATTGTGAATGGATTTTTTTATCTTTTTTTATATGATTTGATAACAATCCAGCAAATTTGTCAGTGACAAAGTTGTTTTTCTTTTCACTGTTATGATTGAAAAAAACTGGATATTTTTTTAAAATTTCAACATCTTATACAATTTGTCAAAACGAAGTTTCTTAAATTTGTAATATTATATTTGTAATAAATCAGTAGACAAAGACCAACAAATCAACTATCACTTCTGAAAGATTGACCTTGACAAAACTTTTTTATCCAAAGATGTTACAAACCCTTGACCTTACCACAAAGCCCCTTCAGTTTTTTGCAAATGTATATTTAAGTGACTACTGTTGTAATTAGAGCGGAAAAGGACACGTTTTATACCGAAGTTGTCTTTAAGTCTTCGTTTTCCTCATTTATCTTAATGTAGATTGATTTCAAATCAAAATAAGATTGTTTGCAAATGGTTTTAACAATGTATTTCGGAAGGATTTTATTTTTTTGCAAACATTACGAGAGTGAAACTAATCATTTCTTTTTTATAAAACATTGAAAATAGTAGTTGTTGTTATACTTAAAAAAATTTTGCAAGAACTTTTTCCAAAAATTAAACTGTGTGATTTCTTTTACGTTGAGACATATCTTTTTATCCTATCCCTTTGGCTCAACAAAAAAGTGTTTTACAGAGGTTGATGAAAAAATATTTATTCTCATCGACACGGTGTTGGTGCCATCGGTTATGTCAGAGTCCTCGCAATGTGATGGAGCAAACACTAAATTATGGAAAAACAATGTGTGTCGATTATTATTCATGGATAGAATAAAAAAGAATCTCAAATTTGAATGAGATTAGTTCTTCAGTAGCTCCTAGGTCACAATGTTTTTTGTAAAAGAATACCTCATTGAATGTCTTTAAAGTGATTATTGTTATAATTTATCAACATAGGATGTAACTGAATACTTTTAAAAAAACATCCATTTAATTTTTTCAGATATCTGTCACACGATGGGAATTACGTGTATCCCACTGTACCCTGTCAAAGTGTGATCCATCAGAAGCATTAATTATAATAAAATTATATAAAAATTGTAATTGGTTTGATTGAGTCAGTAAATGAGGGATAAAATAAATCAACATCCTTCCAGGCGGCCCATAGCACCGGCTTGAGCGATACTCAGTTTTCATAATTTTAATAGGTGCTTTTCGGAAAATTATTTGATTTTTGTTCAAGAACTGTCACAAAAATCCTTAGTTAATGGTGCTTTCTATTCCAATAGGCTGTTTGTTTCTTGCCACTTGCCAGAAAATGTTTTATGTGTTCCTTTGTATAGCATATAAGTGAAGGGACCTAGATTTCGTGACGTATAATTGTTTAACATAGGGATGATCATAATTTAGACTTTGAACTTGTACTATTTCATCCATAAGTGTTGCCACGCTGATTGAATTTGCTTGTTTGCTGTGTTCAATGATATTTTACTTTCTTATAACTTGAAAATCACGAGCAAAAATTGTTGAAACGTCTTTCTTTAAACGTTCGAAAACTGTTTTCACTGTCATTGAACTGTTACAACTTGTCCATGAATTTTGGATTTGTTCGGGTCAACGTTTGTCCCTTCCGTGCATTACTTGTATTTGTACAAAATGAATGCAGATATATGAAAAGAAGTACAGTTTGTACTTATCATTCAGATATATATATTGTCAGTGAAAAATAGGGTTTGATTACAAATTTACCCCTTTCCCAAGTGCAAAATGTGAAATTACTTTTTTCCCCAAAGGGGAGAAAATTTAAATTTTTGTACTTGTTAAAGGGAAAACTCATTTAAATTTATTTCCCCGTAAAATTAAAAAATAAAAGACAAGGCAAAAAAATGGGTTTGAAAATTTTATCAGCATTGCCAAAACTGATAGGTCTCGCCGCTTAGCCGGGTATTAGATTTCTTTTTATCAAGCCTTCAAACTGCTTTCGAGCTTCGTACATGAAGATAGTATTTCATTTCTACATAGGAAACCCGACAAAAACACAAGCGCCCATTTGGGAGGTCCTTTGTCGTGCATTTTCTTGTCATATGGTATTAAATTCTCTTTTCTGGTTGCCTTAGAGCAGGCTGTAAAAAGGTAACAATGAACAGCGACAATTAACTATCATCTCTGTATTTAAACCTACATGGGTATATGTCACGCACGTATATAAAGTGTTTTAGGGTAATTAAACCAACCGATCTTTTAATAATTATTTTAACAGTCCTCGGTTAAATAATTAAGCAACAGTTATAAGAGGTGCATGGTCAAAATTGGAAAAACAGTTGTTCAATGACAAAAGTTTAGCAGGTGACGAGAATACGGGTACGAACATTAGACCAATACAAACATTATTTCACAACAGGCTGTAGCTAAAAATATAAATTAGAATGTAAATTTTACAATTCAAAAAAGAACTATTTATATATCTTTACAAATAACTTCTTTTTTCTTTATTATTTTTTTCCTGTTTTCTACACATATCTATCCTGGTGTACGTAGTTCCGACGCACCTAAGAAACAATCGCTGTGCACCGAATCAAATAAAGGTGTCAACTGATAAATTACCTTAGCAATGGAAGTTTTGTTCATTTTTCCATCTTTTACAACTTTTTTTTCATTAGCTGAAAACTATTGTTTAAACAAACAAATCAAATATATGTCATGGGGTGATTTCCAATATGGCGGATATGAGAGTACAGAGAAACGACGCATTTGATTGGTTTCTATATTTAATCTTTCAAAAACGAAAGTACACTTCCTTTTCACTGCGAGAATGATGTACAGCAATTTTGTAAACAGCACGAAACATTTTAAAAACAATCAGTTCACTGACAAGCATAAATATATGATAGTTATAACAAGATTTGCAGTCTTTCAGAGAATTACATTCAAACATGCTTAACATTCATTACATGTAAATAAAAACAACAATAGTTACATACATTTACCATTATTTACTCCTCTGGAGTGCAATGTTTGCAAAAAAAATGGTCACCTCTTCGAACAACAGCAATATTTGTACAATATTTCAAGTGTGTCACACTGCACCCACTTAGTGAATACCAAAGACACACTATTCCCCTGACTTCATCAGGTGTGAATTTGTTGCACACACAACATTTTTCAGATTCATCAATAGAGTTATCATCACCATCATCATCACCATCATCATCACCATCAACATTTGTAAAAACTTCAGTCTGCTTTCTGATGACAGAGGTACTAGGGACAGGGTCAGATTTATTACTTTTCTTTTGTTTTTTACCTTTCTCTGATGTTTTATTCCCTTTACCTGTACTTGATGGTTTGCGAGCAGCTTCATGTTCTTTAATTGCTTCAAACATATCATCCTCTGTAATTGCTTTACCACTCACAATCGTACTTAAATATTTTCTTTTCTTAGTAGGTGGCTTCTTACATGTCATTGAGGTTTCTTTATTTGTGAAAAAAGAAGCAGGAGAGACAGTTTTAGATATAACAACGTCAGACTCGATGCATGGTTCATTGTTAGACTGGGTCGAAGGTTCGAATCCCGGCATGTTAGATGGTTCAAGTCCTGGCTGGCTGCATGGTTCTGACTGTGATTTCTCCTGCTGTAAAGCAGTGGAAGGGAGAAAGTGTGAAGGATTTACAGCATTTTGGTTCAGAGGAAAAATTTCTGACTTTCTGAAAGCAGACTGTAAGTTTTCGGGTGACAGTGCCTTTAAATAGGCACTGCACGCCAACTGACATATGTCAAATTTTGTGATGGACCTTCCACATGTCTCCCTCATAAATTTGTGTCCGCACCTATTGAAAAAATTTTCAAAAGGTCCGAAACAACCTACATCCATGGACTGAAGTACATGAGAGGTATGAGCAGGAAGAATAAATAAAATAATGTGTTCTTGCCTTGCCCACTGAACAATATTAAGATTAATATGAGATCTATGCCCATCATAAAATAAAACAACTGGGCAAGATTCAGATCTTTCTGGAAAGTACTTTATCAGATGTGATTGGAGATAGTGCTTAAAGATTTCACTATTGCACCAACCACTCTCTGATACAGTACCATCAGCCCCAGGAGTACTACCTTTTAGCAATGCGGAATTCATTCGAACACCAGGAAAAACAAAGTATGGAGGTATTTGCTGACCTTGAGCATTACCACAACCTAACACGGTAACATTATCCCTACTGTCTGACACTACAGCCTGGGATTTTACTTGCCCAGAGACAACAGGTGGAGGCGTATGTCTAGTACTTAAGCCTTTTTCATCAACATTATAAAGTCTCTCTGGACGATCACAAAGATTGTATTTAACAAGAATATGTGACAGTTCTTTATAATATCTATCCACGCATTCCTGTGACGTTGCCTTGGCACGCTGAAGTTCAAGGCCTCTTGGAGCAAGATCTTCAGCTCTGGCCACCGAGACTTGAACAATACAAACCAGCCAACTGATAAAGGTTCCCCTGGTTGTCTATGACCCAAAGCAACAGCATACTCTGTGCTAATATCAATAACTTCCTTCCTGGAAATAAATAATTGTTTTCATATAATTGGCATCAATAAATAATTTTTGAAAATATTGATTATAAATTAAATTTATGATTTAATATTTAAACACTTAAATTTAATAACATAATATAATGTCAAAATGCCAACCTGCTGTATCCATATCCAACAGAAGCAGTGAACTTAAGGTGCTCCACTAATAAGGCTTCCTCTTCCTGTGAAAATAAAGGTGGTGGTCCAGAACGAACAGCCTCGGGGTGGTTCTTCCACTAAGCTTGTGTCTTAATGTAGCCTCTGGCACACCATACTGACGAGCAGTTGTTCTTATTGGGGCCCCTGCCTCCCTGCATTTTAAGTAAGCTGCTGTCATAGAAGTAGGAGAGTAATTCCTGACCTTGACTTTAGGGGTCTGTAAAAATAAAATTAATAATTATATAGAAACTTAATAAAAATAGGTTAACAGAATGTAAGCTTTACTATAAATTCTCACAAAATTGAGCTAACAAGTACACTTTCCTATACAGTGAATTATATATATTAAGTAGTCACATTACTTGTCACATGACTGTCACGTGACTTTTAAAAATAGCGAGGAGTGCGGTGTCGGCTGGTCTGGCTGTCATTTTTATTAATTTTCTGAAAACTACATTTTCAAAGTTAAACAAAATTAGTAATAAGAAAAAACATCATTTTTAAGTGTTTCACGTTAAAAAGTATGAAAAGAGTACCTCAAAATCCCTGACTCTCCACATTTTCGCTGCGAGAAATCACCGTGGTGTTTATAAACTAAAGTGCGTGAGAGTGACGTCATACGGAAACCCGAAATCGAAAACGAGGTCAAAACAAAAATGGCGTCGTAATTAAGATGCGTCGAAATAAAGTTCAGGAGGATAAATGATTACCTTGGTTATGATACAGTTTATCTGAAAGATGAATTTAGACCAAAGATCAGTATCAGCACTTACCTTCCTTTAAAACAATTGTATCAATGGTCTACATGCATCTTTCAAAAACCGTTGTTGACAGTTGTTGATTGTTTTTAAAGGACATATATCTCCAAAGGATAACATAAATAAAAACATCTTAAGGTACACTATCCATTTGCTAACACATTTTGTTAAAACTAGCAATATTTTACGTTAAGAGGAATAATCACTTTTAAATGAGAGATAATACAAAAAAGGGGACACATGATAAGTTGAAACTGACCTCTTGATTCTGTTTATATCTTGAAATATGTTAGATTTAAACTCTATGTATTGTTATGGTTTTGAACATGTTATTAGCAAGCATGAATGTTTAATAACTTTGCATGACTTTGACCTTAACCCAAAGAAACCATGTATAATTCCAGATATTTAGAGAAGATCTTATGAATAAAAGATAAATATCTAAGATATGGACCTCTTCCAAGGTGTGTTATACTGTAACATACTGCAAGTTATGTAGTATGTAGTATTACTAACAGTTGTGTCCACATTACCTCTCAATGTGCGATTACTGGATTTTCCGCCAAGCTGATGACCACTTAATTTAGTTGTTTTCAAGATATAACCCCCAAAATAATTATCATAGTTGATCTTTTATTGCACATTAAAATACATTTCAAGAGTGTGTCCAATATGTTAAGCATGAGTATGGCAGGTTGTTAACAAGGGAGTCAAAACACCATGATTTGAAATAAAATCATTGTGTTCTGGCCGATTTGTGCCTGGAAATAACTTTTAAAAACTGGAGAGAGAGTGATCCTCGGAAGCATTAATCATCACTTAGTTGCATGAAAATTGCAGAGTCTGTACATGAGTGATAATGAAAATGTGAAACATCCCTGATGTTCTTTAGCACCGGTTTCAGCTATAACACAGAAACATATACTTAAAGCACAATACATGATTATCATGTTTCACTAAAGCAAATTACGAAGAATTTAAAATAGGCGGTTATAATGTCCGTTTGATGTCTATAGGAATTGACGTTAAATATAGGTGTTGAAAAATGAGTATCGATGAAATTGCATTAAAAAATGTTCAACTTGGTGTTTGATGATATGTCTTTCATACTTTTATTACTTTGATTTGTTCAAAGCTTAATCTATCATTTGAAATATTTTCTAAATGAACAGTAATAAATCATTGATGCAGTAAGTTGTTTCATTCCAGGTTTGACGTTGATTCGTATCCAAGTCAAAAATGATAAGTATTGTGCCGAAGAAATACGTGGAAAACAAAATGAAACAAAAACATTCTGATTTTTCAACTCTTAAGACTGTTTATAAGTTTTATATCCTGATTACAAAAGTTTTTTATTGTTAAGACTTTGGAAGAAAAATACTGTTGAAAGAAAAAAGGTTCATAACAGGAACAAAACAACTTATTTACAACGTTTAGACAAAGATATACACCCTAAATATGTTTAAAGCTTCCTTTTTGTTTTCATGTTAACAACCAATTTCTTAAGCATTATCTAGATCATGATCATTAAAACTCAAAACTACTTAAAGATTTTAGACCGAAGAACAGTATTATCAGTTGACTTTTAACTTTAAAGCTATTGCATACATTATTCCCATACATTTTTCTACAATTATATATCTTCCTTCTGTTTTGTCTTTAGTGACAAATATCTTCACAAATGACACAGATTAAAACTTCTTAAGATATTTCCATCCATATACAATAGAAAAAATGGACTCCCTATGGAACGCCAAGACGACAAAATTGTAAATGTTGCAGGGTCGGTTTGAATGAGCCCTTCATGGACGACACAAGTGTGCAAACTTGGATAGAATGTACAATATTATATGATTTATAATATTAAGGAGTTTTGACAAATTATATTTGTATAAATTATTCATTGTGAACCAATTATAAAGGTGCAATTGGCGAACGTCATAATTTGTATTAATATCTTTGTGCTCTACAAAACCTTTTTGCAAACTTACTGACATCTTTTAAATCTGTTAGAAGTAAAAATATTATTCAATATTAAAAAGAAATCTGTATCAAAGTAAAGTCTTTAGATAAAAGTTTAATAATAATAACTTTTTAGATACTGTATTTCGGAAACTTTTGCGGATACAAGTTCGCGCTTTCGTGCAATCATAGGCACCGTGAATTTGGCGAATATTTAGTTGAACATAATTATATAACTAGTACATGTATAACAATGACTTTTCTAAATTTTCAAGACACGAGTACAACATATGATACTTATAAAAGCGTTCAGTACACATTCAAAACGTTCAAGTTTTGACAGGAATTTAGATTTTATATATAAATAGTCAATGTGTATAAGATTATCAACCATTTTCATATACGAGAAAAATGAAAGTACATACGCACCATGTTTGAGTATACAATGTAAATTATACTTAGGATATATCCCCTGTTTAAGTTAACAATCTTTTTCTATGTCGTCGCCTTAGTGCGATAGCATGTAAACTCCTATTAGATTAAGAAAGACTTAACCCGTTAGTGCACTAAGGTAACGAATTGTGGCAACATCTCAATTTAACCACACCTTTACTGAAAGAGACCAAATATATTTTCTATATTCAATATTGAACAGCATTTATTATAATTACAATACTTTACGGTGTGAACAGAAATTATTACATCAAGGCGCTTCCATACTACAATATATACGTATCTTATATTCATGTAAAACCAAGGCCAACATCATACAACCCAAGCGTTTGTAAGGAAAGGTTTAACATAATTTGTTTTGATTTCAATTCCAAAAGAAAATGTTTTCACTAAAAATTGTTCAAGGATTTTATCTTTGGGTTTTATTTATAATTTCTCTAAGTGAAAATTCATTGGGTGTTCTTTATGATATCAAGCCTGTTGGCCACGCTTCAAGTTTGAACTATGAAAATACCTTGATGCAGATTTTGTTGGAAATGAAGGCTGAAGTGTCATTGCTGACGAAAGAAATAAAGGAATTTAAGGAGACAAAAATGGGTAAGTGCAAACTCATTTCATGTGCTATTCCAATTATTGGCCCCCTCTTTTGTTTAGACAAGAATTTGCCCATCCAAAAAGCACATTTGAAACAGAAAACTAAGCGAAAGTTTAAACACTATCATACTTGCTAATGTAACTTTGCCATCATTGGATCCAACATGACTTACACTAAATATTTACATGTATATAATAGGTTATCAACTCAACGCACAAATAAATAGAGTACTGTTGAATGTGAATAAGGAGATCATATTAGGAATGTACAATATTCTATTTTTCAATTTTACATTACGTAAACCATAACCATTACATACACAAATGTTAACATAACTTGTGGTGTTAGCAATCCAAAAACACCTATTTTCATATCAGCAACATTTTCATTCTTTTGCGCCATTGAATGTACATGATCAAACCATAACACTTTGCTCATAATTAAAATGTATATAAAATTCTCTTTGCAATTAAACTGATAGTTGAATGAAGAGCTATGTCCCTTTCCCATTTGAAATTCCAAATTTTAGTAATGTTTCACGGATTGTTCTGTGTAGGTCTGTAATTTCTCATCACATATCAATGAAATACGCTTTAAACTTGAAAGAATTATACATATACGCCACTATTGTATTCCTTAAATAAATGTATGAGACAATAAGACTCACAATTGTCCTCCATAATGGACTCTGACTTTCCTTTTAGGGATTCTTTTTCAGAATATGTTTTTCAAAATGTATTAAGGGAATTCCCTTCAAATGAGTACTTATCAGTAAAGTACTTATCAGTCGACAAAATGAGAACCTGATTCGAAAAGATGATTTACATTACTGTTATGTACCCTTTTACAAATTACAAACATTCACAAAGCAAATTAAGTTTTCATTATAGTTGGAAAGATGATGCAAAGGAAACGATGTTGTTACTTGGAAGGCTATGGTATTATAACAACGACATCAATCTATTGCCAAACAATATTTTCCCGTCACCTGACAAATATTTCTAATACTTTGACATTTAATGCTATATCGATACCTTTGTTAAAACATGCATCAATTAAAATTGAAAAAAAAATCCCCATGAATTCAATAAATTTAATAACTTTCTTTTTCTGACACTATAAAGGGACTATCCTGTTTCAATGTTTTTTTTCAATATTGATAATTTAAGAGTAGTTGCAAAATAATGTGCATCATATTCTGATTTAAAATGTAGTTATACACCTGTTAATAAATAAAGTCCTTCATTTTTGTTTTGATATAAAAATTCTAGTTTTTTAAATGTGTAATGTCATATCATTTTCCGTTTTTTGTTAGATGAAAACGGAACATACTCCAGCGTTTCTACAACAAATATTGTAAAGACTTTGCTTGAATTGAAGAATGGTATGGCAGCACAGGCAAAGGAAATTGATGAACTAAAACGCAGCGGTATGTAAACAGCAATGAAAAGTAATGATTAATGGAACATATCAAACATGAAAATTATGAATAATTGAACATATCAAACAGTAGAAATATAATTAATTGGACATTTAAAATTATAACTCAATTTTAAAGTGTTTATTTGAAAAGTAAACAGCAAATTTTTGTGGGTAGTTTTACTGTTTTTTAAGTGCAATATTGCATGCAATATCATATTCATGATCATAATAATGATACAAACAAGAAATAAGACAGGTAAAAATTTATTATGTTTCATTTGATAAAGATTTTGTTTCTTTTTTTCTTTTCGATAAATGTATTGTATGTCAAAAAGGAAAATGTTGGTGTTGGTGAATGAAAAGCTACTGTAACAGTACAATTTTTTAGTATTTTGCAGAATTAAGAAAAATATATGCAATATAATGTCCTGAAAAAGTGATCTTTTCAATGTACTGGCCACTATTTGTTTTAGTTTCTTTTCTAATTTTCTTTTTCTCTTATTTT